CAGCGGGCGGGGAGCGGGGGCGGCCGCCCCGCGGCACCGGCACCGCGGCTGAGCCCCTGTCCCCTTCCTCCTCCTCTTCCTCCTTCTCCTCCTCCCCCGGGCAGGTGATCATGCGGGCCTTCTCCCGGGACGCCCTGCAGCACTACGTGCCCGTCATCCAGGAGGAGGTGAGCGCCTGCCTGGCGCGGTGGCTGGGCACTGCCGGGCCCTGCCTCCTGGTGTACCCCGAGGTGAAGCGCCTCATGTTTCGCATCGCCATGAGGATCCTGCTGGGCTTCCAGCCCCGCCAGGCCGGCCCTGACGGCGAGCAGCAGCTGGTGGAGGCCTTTGAGGAGATGATCCGCAACCTCTTCTCCCTCCCCATCGATGTGCCCTTCAGCGGGCTCTACCGGGTAAGGCTCCCTGTGGGCTGGGAGGAGAAAGGGTACCCCAGCCCTGTGGGCGGCCGGGGGCTAAGGCCCGTGCCCTCCCACCCAGGGCTTGCGGGCACGCAACATCATCCACGCCAAGATCGAGGAGAACATCCGCGCCAAGATGGCCCGCAAGGAGCCTGAGGGTGGCTACAAGGATGCGCTGCAGCTGCTGATGGAGCACACGCAGGGCAATGGGGAGCAGCTCAACATGCAGGTGAGAGGCTGGTGCTTGGGTCCCCAGGACTGAATCTGGCCCTTCCCCCCTTTCTCCCTGGCAGGAGCATGCTTACCCTTAGGGGCCGTATGGAGAGAGCAGGAGGTGCAGCCTCCCCTCCCAGTGCAATAAACCAGCTCATGCTGCTCACTGGGCTCCTGTGGGCAGAGGCTGCAACCAGGCTGTTGGACAGGGAGCGCAGGATCAGGGCTGCATCTGTGGGAAGCCTAGCATCCCCGCCTTGTCCCCAGCCCCTCAGGTGTCGGCTCTGGGCTGGGAGCGCCGCACAGCAGGCCTGTCTCCCTCAGGGAAGGTGGTAGATTGGGCCTGGGGGAGAGGTGTTGTTTGAGGCCTCTTTTATCCCTTCTCTGCCTCCTGTGTAAGGAACTGAAGGAGTCTGCCACAGAGCTGCTGTTTGGGGGCCACGAAACCACCGCTAGTGCTGCCACGTCACTGATCGCCTTCCTGGGGCTCCACCCCGACATCCTGCAGAAAGTGAGGAAAGAGCTGCAGGTGAAGGTGGGTGCCTCCCCGAGCCGTTTCTCGGGAGCGGGAGGTGGGAAGGTACCCCGGGGCTGTGCTGCGGACAGGGCTCCCCTCGACCCAGGTGGGACCCTGCTTCGGAGGTGGCAGCAAAGCACCACTCACTGAGGGTGGCTGCTTTGCAGCGTAGGGACCTCTGGCCACCGTTTCGGTAAATGCCATGGCAGCATCTCCCTTTCTAGGGATTACTGTGCGGCTCCCACCAAGATAAGCAGCTGGACATGGAGGTCTTGGAGCAGCTAAAGTACACTGGCTGCGTCATCAAAGAGACCCTCAGGCTGAGCCCACCTGTTCCCGGAGGATTTCGGATTGCGCTCAAGACCCTTGAGCTAAATGTAAGCGGGGCTCAGGCTCGGGCTCAGGCTCAGCTGCTCAGAGCAGCTGCAGAGCGCTAGCGGATTCGGGCAGCGTAACGGCTGGAGAGTGACCTGCAGTAAGCCAGGAGGGAGGAGGTGGGGTGCACCAACGCATCCTGTGCCGAGACTTCGGCTTATTTCGCACAGTCGGGCGCTTCATGACTCCTTTCCCTTCCCTTCGACAGGGTTACCAGATCCCTAAAGGCTGGAATGTTATTTACAGCATCTGCGATACCCATGATGTGGCAGATCTCTTTACCGACAAGGATGAGTTTAACCCGGATCGCTTCCTGGCTCCGTCTCCAGAGGACTCCTCTAGGTTCAGTTTCATCCCTTTCGGTGGGGGCTTGCGGAGCTGCGTAGGCAAAGAGTTTGCAAAAGTCCTTTTAAAAATCTTTACAGTGGAGCTGGCTCGGAGCTGTGACTGGCAGCTGCTGAACGGACCTCCTACAATGAGAACGGGCCCTATCGTGTACCCTGTGGACAACCTGCCGACCAAATTCATAGGTTTCAGTGGCCAAATCTGAGGGTTCAACGCTTGCCTCTGGCTGGATTACTATCACATTTAGTATGTACAAAGTAGCTTTTTATAGTGACAAAGGCCTTTAAATATTTAAACTTGTAAATGTATTATAGTTATTTATGTCTTCTAAATATTTCAAAAGGCTATGATATTTTTTTCCAAGCACTATAATTATGGGTCTCTGATTCATAATTAGATAATGTTATTTCTATAGAAATAAGTTTCCCCCTATTTAAAAATGTTATTGAAAGCTGACCAGCTAAGTGTTTGAAGACATTTCAGGACAGTGTATGTATTAAGAAATATCCTTAAAGGCGTTTGAAAAAAACGGTAACTCACTACTCATCCAAATTACCTAAATGGTTATTGTTTGAGAATGTTTTCAGTATTACCTGTGTATAGAGCTTATGTTTAATGTGTGAATTTTAAGTTGATAATAAAGTTTATTTTTGAAGATCCTCTGTATGAAGATCTGCCTGTATGCTAGAGAGTAGCTTAACAAGTTAAAATGGGCCTAAAGGGTTTGGATGCGAAGTCAGATCTGTCTTTGTGAATGAATTGTCCTCTATTTCTATTATGCTCATACCTTACCCCCCTGCCCCATGCACAAATGTGGTTCCCACTTGTAAATGGTAAATTGTTCTAAATGTTACCCGTTAAGTGGCAAAAGCGGTGCAAAAACACATAAATTCACAAAAACCAGTATGAAGTGAAGGCAAGTGGTACAGGTCTCTTTCTCAAGCATATAATCTTCAGACATAGTCAATACGAAAGCTAAAGGGAAGTGGAGGAATAGCATGTAACGTAAGCCTTTCTCGCTAGCTAGAGAAAATGGGTTGAGAAGAAAATATTCCCTAAAACTCTTCTGCTCCCCTACTACTCCTAACCCATATAAACGGGCCACTGGATCTTGTTCTGTGTGGAGTCCCCTGTGTATGAATCTTGACGTACGAAGGTGTCTCTTATCAGCTGCTGGAGCAAGTAAAATCTGCAATTTTGTCTTGAAATGCCCCTGTTGCGAACAGGTCAGAGCCAGAGCGTGCCTCGGGTTTGAGAACTTCTTTCCTGGGATTCGGCAAAGTGAAAACTAAAAGGCAGGCACTAATGTGAATTGATTAACGGAGAATCAACTGTTGAGATGCAATTCCCTAGGGGTGTGTAAGCAGGGCAGATAAAATGCCCTAGGCATGACCCCTGTTTTGGCTTAACTATAAGTTTTCTTTTTTTTTTTTCCCCTCTTGTGTGCCCCCCCCCCATTACTACAACTATTAGTCTTCCCTCAAAAGTCAAACAACATAGGGTGTCTCTATAAACATCTACAACGTGAACTGATGTAATTCAGTGTCACGAACACTTACAGCACCGTATAGAATAATTTAATTTTTTTTTGTGCTTCTAGAAAACAGTCACTTTTTTGTTAAGTTTTCCCAAGATCAAAATTAAGGATGAAGTTAAGGTGCTCTAAATCCCTGCAGGTGTTTAAAAGCATCCATTAAGTTTGTTTGTTTTCAAGGAGTGTCTCTGTACTTCATTTGATATATATTTAAAATGCTAACTGGAAGCACGAACTTCTTAATGTAAGACCTTAGATAAAACCTACATATGATAAAAATGACTACAGCTATCATAGCTTTTTCATCTTAACTTTAAATCTTAGAATGCAAAAACTACTATTTTTAGATTGTGCCTGGATCTTCTTGGCACTATTTAAAACCTCAAATAATTTTTACTGTGCAAGCACCCTACCCTCACATGCTTTTCAGGGTCTGATGATTAACGTAGGCTAATCATCAAGTTTAAGACCCCTTTATTACCGATCTACTAGTGGGAAATTGTAAATACTCGTCCTGATTTGGACGTGATCCTGAAATCTGGGTAGTGCTAAGGCTCTTGCCTTGGTGCTCCTCATTCGCACGTTCTTCTTCGGCACGACAACGTTCTGCAAATCCAACAGTTGTTTACCTTCTAGAAACGATTTGTTTACTTTTAACAGACAACTCTGGGCGCTTTTTACGTGATTGTATTATTTTCATTTATATTTTGTTTTTATAAAGAGTGGGAATCTAAGTGATGTCTGGAGAATATGTGCCTCTTTCACAGTGTAAGTTTAAGATTGTACCTGCATTTCTCTGTTTCCTTTTTATTTTTGAGTTAAGTTTGCAATGCTTTTATCTTTGGAGGAAAAAAAAAATCATACACTTATTTGATTTTGTCTGGACATCTGGGGGCACATCCTCAGCTGTTGTAAATCATGACGACATAACCCTAAGTTAGGCGCTGCCCCTGTGCAATTTATCTCTGTAGTTAAATGGTCTGTCACTGCTGTGTAATTTAGGCATCTCCGAGCTAGCTTGAAACGCGCCATCCCCAAGCAGTGGCAGCAGCGTAGCTGCAGTAATAGGGAACTCTGCGCGGGTTAATTGCTGAAGTATTTGCCCAACTTCTCGAGCAGGTTTTACAACCCCTGCTAATCTCCTCCATGCAGCTGGCTCTTGACAGGTTAGATGCTGGCTGCAAACCAGTTTCAAAGGAGCGCTGGTGTGATTAAGTGGCTTTTCCTGCTCAGCGGCAGCCGGTGCGGAGGTTGGGTTGCCGTTCAGGGGCGGACCTGCTCCAGCACCTCCAGCCCTGGCAAGGGATCGCTGTGGAGCAGGGAACTGATCCAGCTGGAAAATTTTCTACTAAAAACCCCACAGTTGTTTTCCAGCCAGAGCAGGGCCTTGGCCCCGTTCGTGGTGTGAACGGTCACGTTTGCGCTGGGGGTCGAAGCAGCAGAGAGAAAGAGGAGGCAGGCAGAGGAAAGGAAGAGGACGCAACTGCTTTAACCCCTGCCACTGCTAACAGGTTGTTCCTAGAGGCACCCTCTGACTCGCGCTTTGCACGTGTTACCATGCGCTTCTGTAAGTGACTGGAGGTCCAAGACACATGGTCTAAAACACATTCAAAGGCCTGATTCGGGGGAGTGCTCACTCCCTTCTCATCATCAGACCTTTCTGGGGCGTTTCATATCCCTTGTCTTACTTAACCTGCCATAAAAGAAAAAAAAAAAAACTTTGAATAGGTCTATCTTTAAAAATGCAGATGCCCCAGGAGGCACTACCTCTGGAATGAAAAGCCACGCTTTATTTGTAGCTCTGTGTTTACTCTCTAAGGGTAAGGTGGGCTCCTGGAAGCCCAGCTTCTCCTAACCCACGTGAACTACGGCTCCTGCCAACCAGTGGCAGCGCCAGTGCTTCAGTTTCTGAAGTCTTCAGTGATGCTTAAGTTGTGTTTCTTCTTAGCAATATGCAGCTATATTCATTCTTGAATACAAATGACACCTGTAACTTGGCATTGAGGAATGCTACTTGCTAAACTGATTCCTGATTGAAAGGCAATAGCATTTTCAGGCAAGGTCAGAATAGGTAAGTGTTGACTTTTGAAAATGGTTACATGAATAAGAAAAAATACGCAGGTGAATGCCACAGATTCATTGGCAATAAAATAATATTGCTGATAAAAATCATTTAATCAAAATTTTTTTCAGTTTGTCCTAGCAAAATTAGAAAAAGTCATGTTACTTTCAGCAGCTGAACTGAGAAGGGTTTTTTCTTTTGGTTCATAAGAACAGCTACTGAATAGATTGAATATCACTTAAAGCCTTTTATACTTAAGGCAATGCGCTCACTTTTCTGATTGATTTTTTTTTATGCCTTTTCTGCAGGAATCTTTTTCTGGACCTTGCAAGGTGAGAGGCTGACAAAAAGGTTGCTCTTCTTTCTATCCCATTTCGATCTTTCTTGTGTTTTCCTATTTTATTCTGGTTAGTGATTTAGAATAACCTTTGGAGAGGTACTGAGAAAAATACTTAACAATATGTGAAATATTCGATCCTTGACTTTCAAGTGATGCCTTCCTAAGTGGTACAGGAAAAATTTTAAATTGCTTTTACAAATTTGTCTCTAGTCGTCTTTGAAAACAGAATGCTGTTGGTTTTTGTTAGTTCTACACATCAGCAGAGGTGTTCAGGATGAATGCGCCCCAGTAGTTTTAAACTAATGTGCCTAAAATTAGGCCCTTAGGTCTGTATCTTGACTTTTACACTAGGCTTGATTTTATGAGGTATAAATATTCAAAAGCTGCTGTCTATCTCAAAGGGAACTGACTGCTCAGACTCCCTGAAAATCTAACTACTTTAGATTTGGTCCCAAAGCAGGGATTAAAGCAGTATAAGTGCAAATTAAAAGAAAAAAAGAAAAAGATTTCAGATTTTTTTTTTTTTACTTTAAACTTGTTATATAGCATCTTTGCCAGAACAGTCTCACGGTATCCTATCTCCCTATTCATGTAAACTAAACTCTAATCTGTTGATTTTTGGCCATGTTTCTGAAATTCAAAGGCAGTCACAAATATTGTGTTAGGGACATACTGCTCAGGAGGTTATGTTCCAGCCCCAAATCAATTACTTTATTGAAGGGTTAAAGGTGCTGTGTTACATATAATCGTCTTCTCTCTTTATAACAAAAGAGAGAGCGTAGGTTTGGATAGCAAGTGTTAATCCAGGGAGTTTTGTTTGCCAGGTGGTTTGTATTGTAAATTCTCTGTCAAGTTGTACATCCAGCATGCAGTGCAAAGCATATACAGATTAGCGGCAAAGATTCTAGAAGTTTATTAGTTGCAACCATTAGAGTGATAGATTAGGAGCAAGGAAACATAACTGGCAGCAAGTTTAGAGAAGGCTCATTACTAGACTGGCTTGCTGCGCTTGTTTAATAATGTCTTATGAAAAAAATGTTATATGAGAAGTTCAATGAATAATGCAGCCTTCATTAAGTTATGTAAATGAATGTAACTTCGTGGGTGGGTTAGAAATAAAATATTTAACGAATCCGTTTATATCCAAAGAGAGCAGGAGAGACAGCTTTTAATGAAACTCAGATTAAAATATTTAAAAGGTGCCAAAGGAACTTTGGCAGTATGATATTGTAGGGCTGTTTTATTAGGTTTTTACTGTTGGCCTTTCAG